TTTGAGATGTATTTGAGGGTTCATTTACACCAGCCCTGTTCAGTTCAATTTGATCCAACTCTAGTTCGTTTGCCTGGTTCGTTTAAGGAAGTGTGAATGCGTAATCGAACCCTGATGTGGACCAAAAACCTCCTAAAAACCCAGATGAAGATCGGTTGAAGTGAACCCTGGTGCGGTTTGAGTGCATACGTGAACGCCAAGTCTACCAGAGACCACTTCAAAAGCAGGAAGCGAACTTAAGTGCAGGGCATGCTGGGTAAATACAACCAAAACAAACGCATGACTGACACTAGCTGGAGATTTTTTTTTTTGTTTTTTTTTAACCAACAACAAAAGAAAAATCCTACAACTGATGCCACTTTATTTCTGTTAGGATTTTGTGAAGAAGGTTCAGAGGTTTGCAAGTTGTTTCCTTCAGTAGTTCTCGGTGCAGCGCCACCACAGGCGAGGCGAGGAACAGGTTTTTCAAAGGGTTTGGATTGTTTGACACAATGGAGCATGAAAGAGAACCACACCAGGTGAAAATGTAACAAATGTTGCAACTTTGGTTCCCAATCCAGCCGCCGGCTGGTACAAGTTTAAAACATGCAGGATAGTGGCTTTAGCAAGCTTAAAACATTGTTGTGGCTATGAGTTTGTTTTGCTGTCAGTGGCGTGACGGTTAATGTCCCCTGTCTCCCAGGTCTCCGTGATGACCGGAATCATCAAAATCAGCCTGAAGACGTTCCTGGAGTGTGTCCGCCTGCGCACTTTTGGGCGCTACGGCCTGCAGCAGATCCAAGTCGACTGCCACTACCTGCAGATGTACCTGTGGCGCTTCGTGTCAGACGAGAACCTCGTTCACTTCCTGCTAGATGAGATAGTGGGAAGCTCCGCCCACCGCTGCCTGGACCCCTCGCCGATGGAGCAGAGTGTTATTGAAGTGATCTGTGAGAGAGGTTGAGTTGTACCTCTGTTGCGTTGTTCGGGATCGTTTAGCCACTATTGGCACTAGTTTGGTGAATACTGTAAACATATCGTAGGAAAATAATCATCCGAATCTCTTGTTTATTACTACTCCCACAGTTCTTGGCTGGTATATTTCCAAGATTTACGAATCATGTTGTTTGTTGAGTTTACTTAGTTTCTTCTGTTAATCATTTACTATAAAATAAGAATGAAAAAACTTGGATTCAGTCTGAACACAGGGGAACTCTAGCACTCTGACCTTGAAGATAATATGAATGTGAATAGAAAACACTGATGACTAAAGCGCAAGGCTGTGTCCAGTGAAAGCTGCTCCATTAGTAAATCTCTTCAGGCTATTTGTGGACTTTTTTGTTTTCATCCATTAACTGTAAACTGCAGCACATCTTTGATTCCTGTCTGTTTTCTCTGTACATGTCTGCATAGAGAATGAACTAACCTGAATGTATGTCCAGAATAAACAAGTATGAGTTTAAAAGAACTTGTTCTTATTAATTCTTAAAATGTGACACTTCAGGTATTGCTTTCCCAAAGCATCTATGAGATTC